AGTATGCTTTGAAACTTAAAAATATATCATAAAAGGCTAATAATACCCAGGCAATTTATGTTTTGAAATGCATGTTCTTTCTACCCAAATGTTCTGTTGAATCTATTCTAATTCTAATACTCCAGATTTAGGGATCCAGAAATTTCCCCCCTATTTATTTCCTTAGGTTTATCCTTTTTCATGGAGTTGAAAAAGTTGCATTAGGGAGTGTGGAAGGAGATCACATTCCCATCTTTTACTAAAATGAGGTTAATCTGAGGTTTACTAAAAGTTGGATCTTTACATGCCTCTGCTTTGTTTGAACCTATTAAGAAAAAGGGTTGTTTCATTTTTAAAGTTCTTTATAGTCTATTAAAATCGGAAAGTAAAACCCTAATAATATTTGAAAATTGGAATCCCTAATAAAATAAGAAACCAAATGTAAATAAAACTCCAAATTAAACTATAATTAAAAAGAAAATAAACAAAATACTAAAGATTTTTTTTCTTTTGGATCGGTATCACAAAATATTGGAAAGCCGCATCCACCATGCCAGAAACAATGTATGGTCATTTTTTTTATCTTTGTACTGCCAAATAAGTTCTTAGAAGAAAGAAAAGCATGTAGCTATAGATTATAAATTCCGCTAGGTTTCCAACATTGTGATATTTCATGTTTCTTGAAAGGACAAATTAAACCGGAGTGAAGGAGGGTGAATGACGACCTTCACCGAACTGACGAGGGTGAATGAGGGTGAACGACGGCCTTTGCCAGAGTGACGAGAAGCAGCGACTCTGAACGACGAGTGGCGAGGGTGAACGACGGCCCTCGCCGGAGTGACGTGCAGCAGCGAGTTTCGTTCTCCAGATCTCATTCCACTTTTAACTCCCTTGACTTGAATCTCGATATAAAATGCCCAAGTTGGAAGCTTGAAAGGACACCTCTCCACGAGACTAAAGGTAAGAAAGAAAAAATTGTTCCAAACACTCTATACTTACATTGCACTTTTCCCTCCAATTTCTCTTCCCAAATTCCTAATTTACATGATCAATTTTTGATAAAATCCAGTAATTTTGTCACAGATTTAAGCCTTATCCAAAGCTCATGTGAATTGGGTTTCTGTTTTTTTTTTTTTTATATAAAAAAACTTTGTCCGAATTTGGGTTTCCAATTTAGGGTTTCTTGACCACTTTGTCTGTTGATGTTCTTGATAGATCATTTTACTCGTAGTGGAAAAGTGGTTTTGGGGTTAAAAGATTTGTGGTTTTTTTGGGTACCAGTTTTACTGTTAACGTAAAAGAAGATAATCAGACATCTAGGTAAGGTCTGTGCAAAAATAATAATAAAATAAAATATGGGTAAGGGTTAGATTTGTTGAATCTGATTCTCAAACTTTGTAATTTGTTAAATAAATTGTTGTGAGTTACAAATCTGGGATTTTTTGGTTTTTATGTTCTGGATTTACTGAATTTTGTTGTTTTCTTCAACATCAAGATGTGGTGAATGGAGTTTTGAGTTGCTTTAGGTCAATAGATAGCTCATATTCTTGGATCAAGATTATGTAAGCCTTTTTTTTCTTGGATCAATTCTGGTTGTATTCTTTTTTCACACACACACACACACAGAGTAAGATTATAATAAACTTGTTATCTAAGAGACTTGAGGCTGGAGAAGCTAAAGGTGAATCAGGATTCATTCTGGATGGTTTTTCTCGAACAATAAGACAAGCGGTGAGCACATTTTTTATTAGAAATGATTTGTTTTCAAACTTTATTTCTTTTGCATTGATATGCTTTTCACATCATGTGTCTCTGTTTAACAGTATGAGAGAAGGCAAAATGTGAAAAATATTTTGGGACCACTTGCTGTTTTTCTTTTTCCTGCAAAATTTGAAAAATGTATTATACATTTTTGATGTTTCATCCACACCACTTCAAAATGGTTTTAAAATGACGTTTCAGGAAATGGAATAGATGTACCAGCTTATCAAGATCTTGTTATGTAACTTCTTAAAATTATAGCTTGATATTCCCACAATAATTACTGCAAAAACCTCATATAGCTGCTTTGATTACTCCCTTTTTTGATTTCGCTTTCAACAGACTTTTTAGAAGGTACACAGTTTAATGATTTGCTCATCAATAAATGGGTTTTTGTTCCACTTCTCTTGTTCAATGGAGTTGGGTTTACAATACCTGTATGTTTTCTCACAGGTATGATTCCAGAAATTCCATTTAGAGTGGTCCATACTTCTCATTGATAACTCAAACTGCAGGTCAGCATATGATGATGTTTCTTTTATTTAAAAACTAAAATTTATTGTGCATTCTACAATTTGTAGTGCTTGTTTGGTTTCTAACTTCATTTAGGAACACTTGGCAGTGGATCTATGGATTTTGTTGTCCCTTCAGTAGATGCATCAGTCTTTTTCCTGATTTCTGTGCGTTTTACTGCTGCAAGCACATTCAGTGAACAAAAGGTTTACTTCTCTTTTTCCATTTATAGTTGATTCATTCAATTTCTCAGCCAATAATAATGGTGTTGGTGTTGTACTTAATTTTGGTTGACATTTATGTTCATTTATTGTTGGAACAATCTTCTGTGTATATAAAATAACTTGAAATAAATTCAAACAAAATAAATAAATAACATACCGGATTTATTTATCGAACCGAATTAAAATTAAGACCAAGTCGAGTGTGTGACACTCTGTCCTTAAGACAGATTCGCCCCGCTACGGTGCTTACGGTTGAGTAGCATCTATCTCCCAGGATACAATGATCTTCACAAATTTATAGAAGCACTTCAAATAAATTTGTTCGACGAACTAGAACCTGTGTTCTATACTCTCTTTGTAATTTTCTTAAAACTAGAATGAAGGAAAATTCCCTAAAAAGAAGTTGGACAGCAATATAAATAATGCAGACTAAATCTCAGACTGTTTTTTTTTTTACCTGAACCAATGGACTGCTGAAAAACAAATAGTATTTATAGGCAAACCAAAGGACCCAAATAGGTACAACCCTTTTGAATGAACAAATGCACTAGTTGTATTCAAATAAATCGGACGGTTGTACCAAAATTCAAACAATCCAAAAGTGTCCGTTGGACCAAGTCAAAGAAGTGTCCGTTGGACCAAGTCAAAGAATTGTAGGTAATTTATTGTTTTTAAACTATTTTAAATATATATATATATATATATATATATATATTAAACTATTTGAATAGTTTAATAAATAAAGGAAGATGTACAAATTTTAGGAAACTATTTAGGAACCTAAAATTTGAATTTAGAATTAAATTAAATTCCCAAAATTACAAACTTTAGGAAACCACTTAGGAACCCAAAATTTGAATTTAGAATTAAATTAAATTCCCAAAATTACAAACTTTAGGAAACCACTTAGGAACCCAAAATTTGAATTTAGAATTAAATTAAATTCCCAAAATTACAAACTTTAGGAAACCACTTAGGAACCCAAAATTTGAATTTAGAATTAAATTAAATTCCCAAAATTACAAACTTTAGGAAACCACTTAGGAACCCAAAATTTGAATTTAGAATTAAATTAAATTCCCAAAATTACAAACTTTAGGAAACCACTTAGGAACCCAAAATTTGAATTTAGAATTAAATTAAATTCCCAAAATTACAAACTTTAGGAAACCACTTAGGAACCCAAAATTTGAATTTAGAATTAAATTAAATTCCCAAAATTACAAACTTTAGGAAACCACTTAGGAACCCAAAATTTGAATTTAGAATTAAATTAAATTCCCAAAATTACAAACTTTAGGAAACCACTTAGGAACCCAAAATTTGAATTTAGAATTAAATTAAATTCCCAAAATTACAAACTTTAGGAAACCACTTAGGAACCCAAAATTTGAATTTAGAATTAAATTAAATTCCCAAAATTACAAACTTTAGGAAACCACTTAGGAACCCAAAATTTGAATTTAGAATTAAATTAAATTCCCAAAATTACAAACTTTAGGAAACCACTTAGGAACCCAAAATTTGAATTTAGAATTAAATTAAATTCCCAAAATTACAAACTTTAGGAAACCACTTAGGAACCCAAAATTTGAATTTAGAATTAAATTAAATTCCCAAAATTACAAACTTTAGGAAACCACTTAGGAACCCAAAATTTGAATTTAGAATTAAATTAAATTCCCAAAATAATTTTTATTGAAAAAATTCAAAAGAATTTTATCTAAAAAATTAATGTTAAACCCGAAAACGACGTCATCTTTCCATTCACTCATAAATGATTTTGACGTTCCGTCTTCACCACTTCACCTCTTCGGACCCACCCCAAAAGACGTTTGGGGTCCACCCAAATTGGGTTAAAAAATATGCCTATATAAAACCAGTCAGATGAAAGGTAGTGCAAGAAATGCATTGAAAAGTAAGGAAAGTACAGTCAGCTAATGCAAGAAATGCAAGTAAATAAAGGCAAAAATGTAAGAAAATTGAGCTCATATGCATAAGTTATATCTGGGCGGGTGCAGTTTATCAAGTACATTAAGCTTCCAATAATTTGGGCATATTCTAATTGAGAAATACTTTCCTGTACATTTTTAGAAAGATACAAATTAACATCTACAGGAGTTCTAGCAAGATGATCATCATCTTTGCTGAATTTGTCAAGTATTTTCTCAATGTAATGAGATTGTGACAAAGCATATCCTTCTGATGTTTTGGTAATTTTCATATCAAGAATTACATCAGCAATGCCCATGTCCTTCATGTCAAAATGTTTATTCAACATTTTCTTAGTAGTTTTAATCATATCATTATTACTACCAATGATGAGCATATCATCTACATAAAGACATACAATAACATAACATTTGTCTGTGTTTTTAATGTAAACACATTTGTCACACTCATTAATTTTGAATCCATTTGACACCATTGCCTTGTCAAATTTCTCATGCCATTGCTTTGGCACTTGTTTTAAACCATATAATGATTTAACCAATTTATACACTTTCTTTCCTTTTCCTGGAACAGAAAAACCTTCTGGTTGTTCCATGTAAATTTCTTCATTTAACTCACCATTTAAGAAAGCAGTTTTCACATCCATTTGATGAATTTCTAGATTGTATAGGGATGCAATGGCAATTAGCATTCTAATGGATGTTATTCTAGTAACCGGTGAGTATGTGTCAAAGTAATCAAGACCTTCTTTTTGTCTAAATCCTTTGACTACAAGTCTTGCCTTGTATTTATCTATTGATCCATCCGCTTTCAATTTTCTTTTGAAAATCCACTTGTACCCAAGAGGTTTACAACCTGGTGGCAAGTCCACTAATTCCCAAGTGTGATTTTGCAAGATAGATTCAACTTCACTGTTGACAGCTTCTTTCCATAAAGGAGCTTCAGGACTAGACATCGCCTCTTTAAAAGGTAAAGGCTCATTTTCTAACAAAAATGTTAGAAAATCTGAACCAAAAGATTTTGAGATTCTAGCACCTTTACTACGCCTAGGTTCTTTTTCGTCATTTTGGTCTAACTCTTGCTCTTGATCATGTTCTTGATCATTACTAGTAATAGCATCAAAAGATTTCTTATTATTACTAGTCTCTTGTCCAGTCTTATTTGGAAATACATGTTCAAAGAATGATGCATTCCGAGACTCAATAATAGTATTTACATGCATTTCGGAATGTTCTGATTTATGAATCAAAAACCGATATGCACTACTATTCTTGGCATAACCAATGAAAATGCAATCAATGGTCTTAGGACCTATCTTAGTCTTTTTAGGACTAGGAATAGCCACTTTAGCCAAACACCCCCACACTTTTAAGTATTTGTAGGATGGTACTCTTCTATGCCACAATTCGTAAGGTGTTTGATTCACTTTCTTTCGGGATACTTTATTAAGTATATAATTAACAGAAAGTATTACTTCCCCCCACAAGTTCTGAGGTAATCCAGAACTTATTAACATGGCATTCATCATTTCTTCTAAAGTCCTATTTTTCCTTTTAGCAATTCCATTTTGCTGGGGTGAGTAAGGTGCAGTAGTTTGATGAATTATTCCATGTTCTTTACAAAACTCACCAAAAGGTGATTCATATTCACCACCTCTATCACTTCTAAGTTTCTTGATTTTCTTACCAAGTTGATTTTCAACTTCATTCTTATATTGAATGAAAGTTTCCAAAGCTTCATCCTTGGTTCGAATTAAATAAATATAACTATATCTAGTATAGTCATCTATAACAGTGATTACATACTTTTTCCCACCTCTGGTTTGAATAGATTTAAAATCACAAATGTCACTATGAATTAATTCAAGTGGTTCCGTACTTCTTTCAATTGAATGAAAATGAGTTTTAGATAATTTTGCCTCAACACAAATTTCACATTTATGATTTGAATCAATATCAAATTTAGGTAAACATTCCATATTAATTAATCTACGCAAAGGTCCATAATTAACATGTCCTCGTCTACCATGCCATAAATTTGAAGACTCAAGCAAATAAGAAAAAGATGTATTATTATTCACAACTGTGGGTACAATGGTCATTACATTCATATTGAAAAGGCCATCAGACATGTAACATTTTCCTACATACATCCCGTTTTTGGTAAGTACAAACTTGTCACTTTCAAAAACTAGCCTAAACCCATTCTTACTCAAGAAAGCTTCGGAAACTAAATTCTTGCGAATATCCGGTACATGCAGCACATTGTTGAGAGTGAGTTCCTTTCCTGATATCATTTTCAGAACAATCTTTCCTTGTCCTTCAACTTTGGAAGTTGAGGAGTTGCCCATAAAAAGTTGTTCACCATTGTCAACTGTAGAATAAGATGTGAATATCTTTTTGTCGGCACAGATATGGCGAGTAGCACCAGTGTCCACCCACCAATCTTTAGGATTTCCGACAAGATTTGCCTCGGAAACAACTGCAGAAAGATTGATGACATCTACACCATTGGAAATTTTATCCAATTCGGTCATTTTGGCTTCAGCAACCTTCTTACTTGATCTTCCTTTGCCTTTACGTTTGTAACGATAATCTTTGGTCCGATGTCCCTCTTTGTTACAAATGTAACACATGCCATTAAACTTGTACTTCTTAGTTTCCTCTCCTTTAGATAGCATTTTGTTCTGCCATCTTTTAAAACCAGTTCCTAAGAACTTTCCTAGTTTTTCACCATGATTCACTGGCATAGTCCCAATATAAGAAGAGGTTAGCGTAATGGCAATCACCATACCAGTACTGGTTTGAACATTAGTTTGACCAGTTTTAGTAGCCATAAATTCTAAATTATAAACCACAATTATAATTAAAATTTAATACTACACAGAAAATTAAAACCAAAAAACATAGAATTTTAAATTCTGTAAAAAATAAAAGAAACAAAAATTGTAACTTTTATTTCCAATTAATTTGAAAATAAAATAAAATTTTATTTAAACAAATTAAACCAAAACTACAGATATAAAATCTGTTAAAATAAAAGAAACAAAACAAAATGTAACTTTTATTTTCAATTAATTTGAAATAAAATAAAATAAAATTTTATTTAACCAAATTAATTACACACAGAAAATTAAATTTTCTAAAATAAAAGAAATAAAACTATAACTTTTATTTTTCAATTAATTTGGAAATAAAATAAAATTTTATTTAACCAAAATAATTCCACACAAGAAATTAAATTCTGTAAAAATAAAAGAAATAAAAAATTATAACTTTTATTTTTTAATTAATTTGGAAATAAAATAAAATTTTATTTAACCAAAATAATTCCACACAAGAAATTAAATTCTGTAAAAATAAAAGAAATAAAAAATTATAACTTTTATTTTTCAATTAATTTGGAAATAAAATAAAATTTTATTTAACCAAAATAATTCCACACAAGAAATTAAATTCTATAAAAATAAAAGAAATAATAACTATAACTTTTATTTTTCAATTAATTTGGAAATAAAATAAAATTTTATTTAACCAAATTAATTTCACACAGAAATTTAAATCTCTTGTAACACTCCAATAATTAAAATACTGAAATAGAATTTTAATTAATGAAAACACAAAAAATAATTTCTAAAAACCAAAATTAATTTTTTGACAAAATTTCACAAAAATATATTCTGAATTGTTAATGACACCAGTATCGTACTATTAGTTGTCAAAGAAAATAGACAGTATATTGCTACTATCTCTCAAATAGCATATAATCACTATTTGTTTTTCCAACCAGAATATTATTTTGTAAATCCACAGAAAATAATTTTCTTAGAAAAGGAAACAAACGAAAAATTCTGTAAACAGAATAATTCGAATCTGTCTTCAGATTGTTGGAACAATCTTCTGTGTATATAAAATAACTTGAAATAAATTCAAACAAAATAAATAAATAACATACAGGATTTATTTATCGAACCAAATTAAAATTAAGACCAAGTCGAGTGTGTGACACTCTGTCCTTAGGACAGATTCGCCCCGCTACGGTGCTTACGGTTGAGTAGCGTCTATCTCCCAGGATACAATGATCTTCACAAATTTATAGAAGCACTTCAAATAAATTTGTTCGACGAACTAAAACCTGTGTTCTATACTCTCTTTGTAATTTTCTTAAAACTAGAATGATGGAAAATTCCCTAAAAAGAACTTGGACAGCAATAAAAATAATGCAGACTAAATCTCAGATTGTTTTTTTTTACCCGAACCATACCCGAACCAATGGACTGCTGAAAAACAAATAGTATTTATAGGCAAACCAAAGGACCCGAACAGGTACAACCCTTTTGAATGAACAAATGCACTAGTTGTATTCAAATAAATCGGACGGTTGTACCAAAATTCAAACAATCCCAAAGTGTCCGTTGGACCAAGTCAAAGAAGTGTCCGTTGGACCAAGTCAAAGAATTGTAGGTAATTTATTGTTTTTAAACTATTTTAAATATATATATATATATATATATTAAATCAATTGAATATATATATATATATATATTAAACTATAGAAATAGATGAAATAAATAAATGAAGAGGTATAAATTTTAGGAAACTTCTTAGGAACCTAAAATTTGAATTTAGAATTAAATTAAATTCTCACAATTATAAATTTTAGGAAACCACTTAGGAACCCAAAATTTGAATTTAGAATTAAATTAAATTCCCACAATAATTTTTATTGAAAAAATTCAAATGAATTTTGTCGAAAAAATTAATATTAAACCTGAAAACAATGTCAATTTTCCACTCACTCATAAATGGTTTTGACGTTCCGTCTTCACCGTGTGACTTGCCACGCGGCAAGGAACACGTCACCTCTTCAGACCCACCCCAAAAGACGTTCGGGGCCCACTCAATTTTAGCCTCAAAATTGGCCCAAAATAAGCCATATAAAACACCATTTTTTCCAACATTTATAATGCCTGCAACATAGAAAAGGTTTACTTCTCTTTTTCCATTTATAGTTGCTTCGTTCAATTTTCTCAGCCAATAATAATGGTGTTTGTGTTGTACTTAATTTCGGTTGACATTTATATGCATTTATAACGTCTGCAACATAGACTTTTAATAAGAATTAAATGCACCTTTCTTGAATGATGAACTTGTATTAGAGTAGATCAGAAGGTAGCTGCAAAGTTGCACTAATTTAAAGCGAAGAACTCTTTAAATGTTTATTCTGATTTATGACTTCACTTGATGTTTAATTCAGTTTCATTTTGCATGAAACTGGTTCAAATTTCCAACTCATCCGGAAATGGTAGTCAGCAGAAATTGGAGAAATCATCTTGTTTGCCATTATATGACAGATCTACAACATGCCTGGAATAGGGATTATTTGCCATGTTCTATAGCACGTCTACTTGTGAAGTCATCTTGTTTAACCAACTAACTTTGTTTTGTTAAAAGATCTTGAAGAACATGTAAATGTGTGCTTTTCTTTCTTGGGTTCCACTTACCAGTTTGTTAGATTTTTGTGGAATAATTGTCCCTATTTAGGGTTGATTTTGAAGCACGTTTATGACATATTTGTGCATGATGGAGCATAAATCTTTGGCAGGTGCTTAATGTCTTGCTGCTGAGAGGTGGACCATCGCCAAGGTTTGCTCAGAGAACACTTCTACCCACGGAGAATTACCAAGTGGTGCGACTTGTGTTTTAATATATAGGAAAATTGGTTGAGAAAGTTTTTAATACGATTTTGAAGACGTTTTCTTTTGGAGCTTGTGCTACTAATGAGACTATCATTAACTTCTTATTTTTTGGTTCCCTGTTTCTTTATTGCTGAAATTTTTGGGACATTGTGATACTGTGTAGTATTGGTCCATAGATATACTTTTCTGAATATGTAGCACAATGTGTTTCAAAGCTCATCACTCGGTCTGATGATACTGAAGCTGTAGTACAGGAACAACTCCGCATTTACAATGAAAAGGTAGTGCTTCATTCTCCCAAAATGTTCTTCACAAATGACACTAATATTGTCACAGTTTTCCTGTTGTTGGAAAAGTAAACATCCATTTATGTCTTTGTTGCAAGAAAAATGTGAAGACACCTAACATTTTTGCAGGTGTGATTTTTCTTGTGTTAGTTTGAAGTTATGCTTCAGTAGAAATAAGAACCATAATAGTTGATTTGATGCAAGGATTTCTAATGGCTGCAAAGTGGGGCTTCTCACTTGTACTAAACTTATTCCTATTTTCCATTTTGGTTTATGGCTCATAAAAGTTCAATTATATTAAAGGTCTCTGTGATGGGGATTTATTACATGCTGCTCAAAAAAGTTCAATAATATGAATACTTTGTGTGGAAATTATTGACTAATGGGTCTATAGTTATTACTTTTAAATACTTAAGGAAGTTAAGATGGATGAAAACACTTATGAGATTGTGTTTGTTGAAAATTGAAACTGTAATTTTGTGATTTCAACTGATAATATCAATCTTGTTATAGATGAGTCTGCTGAAAAGGAAATGAGGAGGTATATCAAAGCCTCACTCCCAGTTATAGAATACATAGATAAGCTGTGTGTTTCAAGGAATATCAGCTTAGATTGGTAACTTTTTATCCGTTCTGGGGAACTGTTAGATGAGAGGCAGACCTCTTGTGTGCATAGCACAAGCAGACACACAAGCAGACACACCTTACTTAGTTTCTATGAAATCTAGTTCAAACTTTCTCAAATATCAAATGAAATAAAGTTTGTTATTCCCTTGAACTTGTTCATAGCACTTGTTTCCTCATATATGTCTCCTTGTGCGTGGCTTCCAAATGATATTACAAATCTAGAGAAAGGTGTTCTCTCATTTGGATCCCAAAGAAGAAAGGTTATTTTTTAATATGGAGTTGTAACGATATGGTATTGAAATTAAGGCATATAAGATTATTACTTCAGATCAAGGGTTAAAATTTAGCATGTCACAATTGAGGTTGTGGGCTCAAAGTTAAGGTCAGACACTTAGTGCAAATAATGCTAAAAGTTAAGTCTGTACCCAATCTACCTGTCCCTAACATCTAATGGGTACTGAACTGGGCGTACATTTTTTTACTTTGGTTGAAAGGTTTGTTTGGGGGTTTTAAACCCAATCTACCCATCCCTAACATCCAATCAAGTTCCCGGTTTGGGAGTTAGAGCTGTATTTCGATCTAGGCAAACTAGTTCTTTAAGAAACTTGAATTCGATGTGTTGACACCCCAAAATCACCAAACGGGGTCAGATTGGTACAAAACTTGGCACACACGACTGCCTAGGCACGAGAGACTTGTAGGAGAAGACGGGACTCCAATCGGGTTCGCAGTTTGGGAGTTAGACCCATATTTAGGTTTAGGCAAACAAGTTCCTTAAGAAACTTGAATTCGAGGTATTAACACTCCAAAATCACCAAAAGGGGTCGGTTTAGCACGAAACTTGGCACACATGACTGCCTAGGCACGAGAGACTTGTGGGAGAAGACGGGACTCCAATCGGGTTCCCGGTTTGGGAGTTAAAGTCGTATTTCGGTCTAGGCAAACTAGTTCCTTAGGAAACTTGAATTCGAGGTGTTAACGCCACAGAATCACCAAAAGGGGTCGGTTTAGCACGAAACTTGACACACACGACCGCCTAGGCACGAGAGACTTGTGGGAGCAGACGGGACTCCAATAGGGTACCCGATTTTGGAGTTAGAGCCATATTTCAGTCTACGCAAACTAGTTCCTTAAGAAACTTAAATTCGAGGTGTTTATGCCCCAAAATCACGAAACGGGGTCGGATTGGCACGAAACTTGGCACACAAGACCGTCTAGACACGACAGACTTGTGGGAGAAGACGGGACTCCAATCGGGTTCGCAGTTTGGGAGTTAGACCCATATTTGGGTTTAGGCAAATAAGTTCCTTAAGAAACTTGAATTCGAGGTATTAACGCTCCAAACTCACCAAAAGGGGTCGGTTTAGCACGAAACTTGGTACACATGACTGCCTGGGCACGAGAGACTTGTGGGAGAAGACGGGACTCCAATCGGGTTCCCGGTTTGGGAGTTAAAGTCGTATTTCGGTCTAGGCAAACTAGTTCCTTAAGAAACTTGAATTCGAGGTGTTAATGCCCCAAAATCACCAAAAGGGGTCGGTTTAGCATGAAACTTGGCACACACGACCGCCTAGGCACGAGAGACTTGTGGGAGAAGACAGGACTCCAATGGGGTTCCCGGTTTGGGAGTTAGAGCCATATTTCAGTCTAGGCAAACTAGTTCCTTAAGAAACTTGAATTCGAGGTGTTGACGCCCCAAAATCATGAAACGGGGTTGGATTGGCACGAAACCTGGCACACACGTCTGCCTAGGCACGAGAGACTTGTGGGAGAAGACGGGACTCCAATGGGGTTCCCGGTTTGGGAGTTAGACCCGTATTACAGTCTAGGCAAACTAGTTCCTTAAGAAACTTGAATTCGAGGTGTTAACACCGCAAAATAACCAAAATGGGTCGGTTTAGCATGAAACTTGGCACACACTGTAACGCCCTCGAAATAAACCCATTATATAAATATCATTGACATGCAATATTTAAAGAAAACAATTCATTAATTCATTCATCAGAGTATTACTAAATAAAAGCATTCCATGTAACATCAAATTCAATGCCCTACGGGCTAACATCATTCCAAGCCAACACTTGGACACAAAAATATGAGTTCTAACTCAAATACAAGTAAAGCCCTAGGCTTGAATGTTTACATGTACTAACTAATAAAAACAATTAACTAAAGATAGTCTTCAAACTCCAAAAGCCAAATCCTCCCAAGCTAAGTCCTTGGAGGTAGCTTATCGTCTGAACCTGAAAATGATGTTCCCGTAAAGGGTGAGCCACAGCCCAGTAGAAAAATACTAAACCACATATAAGCATTGAATAAAGCTATAGCATTCAATAGATGGTTAACCAAGATAATCAATTATAACTTAATACAGTCTCATGACACTAATGTCTATGACATGTTTCAATTCCCATTATTATCAATATGGCTCAGAACCTGGCCAAACTTACAACAGTGAACTATATATCATATTCACATTACTTCCAATATCACATTACTTCCAATGTCAACAACACAGATGAGACTCAGGCTCATATCAAAACACTTCATACTTCCCGTTTGATACACATTGTAGTGCTGTATCAATAACATGTAAAAACACTTCAATATAATAAGCACACATAATAGTGATGCTAATGGAGTCCATCCCCTATCTCCTCCCAAACAAAAATACATATACAATGTATTAAACACTTGTCATAAGAACTAGGCTCAAGAACTAACTAGATTTGGAAGAGTTAAAGACTCTAGGTGAGTAATTGAACTCAAATTTATGAGTTTAAGTTCATAACTATGTGAATTCAAGAAGTATATGTTGATAAATATGAGAATTGAGCTAAATGTGTTGAATTTAAGATCAACTTGGGCATGCATGCATAAATGTATTGTGATTTCACATATTTGAGCATAAATCATAATGATCATATTGAATTTAGAGTTGTTTGACACATGCATGCATGAATTGTCATGTTTTGAAGCCCAATTTTAAGTCTTAAAGCTTGTATATGCAAGATGTGAAGCATGGATTTTACATACATGGTTTCAACCTCATGATTTAAGCTTGATTTCGGAGATTTGATCCATAATTCGAGTAATTAGCCCCAAAGTAGAAGCGTTTGCATGTGATATAATGATTTTCCATGTTTTTGTACCAAAAAATATGAGTTTTGAACATTTGAAGATGTGTTTTGAACTTCAAACAGAGTTTTGGAAAACCCAGAATTCGACTTGTCCACTTGAGCGAGAAAACTATCACTCGAGCATGAAAGTTGAGCTCCCAAAAGTTTTGCAGCGCTTTACACTGTGGCTCGAGTGGCAAACTTTATGCTCGAGCAAACCTTGTTTTGCAAAATTCCACGCTCAAACATCGAGAATCTCGCTCGAGCATGAATTTTACGCAACCAGTACTTTGGCAAACCAAAGGGGTCCGCTCGAGCGACCAAAGCTGCGCTCGAACGGAGAGCCCTGTTTCAGAAATTTTGAAAAGTCATTTTTTTTATTCGTTTTCGGTTCTTTTTTCATTTCTAAGCACTCTTAGGCATGCGTTGGACATTCTAATTGAATTAAATAGCATGAAAGGAGCCCAAGAACATTATGCAAATTAAAGAACGGAATAAATTGAATTATGACCCAATGTATTATGAATTATGTAGGGTCAAGTGCAAGGACGAATAAAGCACCGGAACACTGTGAGTAATATCTTAGTAAAGATATTTTTGTGCATGCATTATTTTCTAAATGTTACTTACGTGACAAATTTCTGAACTTATGAAATTGTACTATGAATGAGTATTCTATCCATTCGATTCGTAATAGAATCTGTAAGGTGAATGGTGTAAACATATGAAATGGGCCTAAGGCCATTTGGTATATTTCATGAGGACACGGATTGGGCCTAAGGCCGTTTGGAATGTCTAATAAGATAGACTAAAGGTCATCTTATATACAAATTAGACCAAAGGTCGTTTTGAATAAAGAATTGATTAGACCAAAAGTCGTTTTGAATATGAATACGGATGTGATCATGATCATATGCGCATAATTATGAACATAAGAATGGTGGACCTAAGGTCGTTTGGTAGTATGATATGGAGGACCGGTGGTCATTGGTACATGGATCCATTAGAGTTGATGTCTATCTATGAATGAGTATTGGACCCCGAGGTCGTTTTGTGTAGATGGACCCAAGGTTGTTTTGTATACAATAGACCTGAGGTCGTTTTGTGCGTAAGTTGGACCTGAGGTCGTTTTGTATATGGATATGATGTATTGGACCCGA